ACAGGCACACACACACAGGCACACACACACAGGCACACACACAGACGCACACACACAGGCACACAGACCTGACTGTGGTGTGCCTTAGCACCCTGAGCAATGATTTAAGCTATTTATTTTCTCCCCTTTCGAGGTCCTAGAGAAGATTTTAGAATTTCTAATACAGGAGACTGAGAAGGGAAAATATTGGCTTCAACAGTACAAACATCTCTGTCCTGAAAGAAAATGTTAATTTTCCCCTAAATCAAATGTTGACATCTATCGGCTGCTGCCGAAGCTGTGTTACTATGGGTGGGAGAAGGTCTCTGCTCCAGAGTGTGGGTATTGAGCCAGAGTCTGTCCTCTGAAATGCTAACTGGTTTAGAATCTAAACAGGCTTGGTTTAGAGGTTTCATGAATCGTTCTAGTTAGTTTTTAAAAAGCTAATCTCTCTGGGATGCCCTCCTGAGCAGGGAAACAGGGGCCAGGGTTCCCTGCTGGGGAATGCGATCTTTCCTGCAGAAGCCTGGGCCCCTTCTGGGTGTCTGCAGTGATGCAGGCACTGCTTACCTCTGCTGCGAGATACAGGCTTTTAACTGGAGATGGGAGTGGGCAGTGGGAAAGGGCCAGCTGAGTGGAGAGAGGATGGAAACCACAGGCAGAGGGAAATTTCCAGAGTTAGGTGCTTTACCTACCCTTTTCCCCACTGCCCCCAAAACACACGGTGTAAATACTCTTCTTTGTTCAACACCTATGTTTTTAAAATTCCAAATTGAGTTCCCCCACCCACTCTCTCCCTCCAACTAGTCACACACACACAGACGCACACACACACACACGCACCCTTTTCACTTGTTAAGCTTGAAAAATGATGATATATACAACCAGCGCGCTTTGCCAGTGTGCACGGCGAAGGCCAAGATTAATGCAGAAGGTTGGTGCAACGTTGCCGCAGAGCAGCGTGATCAGAATACAAGATGGAGTGCAGGGGGAAAGGCCAAGAAATATGTCTGTGCTTGGAGTTTACACAAGTCTCCTTAGCAACTTGTCTGAATTTATTTTTCCCTTAATGTGTGTGGGTTTCTTCCAAACCCTGAGTGAAAGGGGAGTGGAGTTTCTGAGTCCCCCCCACCCTTCCCCTTCCCTGAGGGTGAAATCCTTGAGTTGGTGAGCAGAGCCTTTCTCTCCTTCACCAGCAGCGCCTGCCTGCCGCTCCCCTCCCCCGTCGAGGTAGCTCTGATCCTCTGCTTTGTGACTCTGTGGACTGTTGGTAGCTTTCCAGAAATTCTCGTCTCCATCTCCGTGGGGGAAGGATGGGACCCGTCTCTGACGGCCACAGCTGTGCGGGTTTCTGCAGCAGCGCCCCGCTCCTGGTGCCTGCTCCGGGAGTGGCATTCACGGACATGTGCCTGTTTACACACCCGCATGTTGTAAACTAAGGGAGAAACAGCACCACTCCTTCCATCTCAACTATTTTTAAAAAATTTTTCTGTCTTGTTCATTTCCCTTTCTGTCTTTCATCACCTCCCAACACACACACACACACACACACACACACGCACAAGATCCTGTAATTCTAACTAGAAGATGAATATAAAGCTATGAGAAAAAAAACAAAACCCTGCCTTTTAGGAATCTGATATGTTGGATTTTATGTGACCCAGGCTTGCTTCAGGGGAGACGACCATAAATACTGCAGTGGTTTTTCCCTACAACCGCTTTACCTGGAAATAACTCTCAGGCAGTATGATTGCTGCCTTGTTGGAGCCAATGTTGAATATAAATCTTCATATTTCTTCTTCTTGACCCTTCTCCTTTTAGAGTCAGGGGAAATAAGAAAAAAAAAAAGGAATCCTAGCCAAAAAACCGTGAAGGTTTGAATCTGGCTTTTTTACAAACAGATGTTGCTTGTCATTCTGTTGTTAAGTAGGCACCAGATTGGACCAGGCAGCAGTGTGTGTGTGTGTGTGTGTGTGTGTGTATCTGTGTGTGTGAGAGAGATAGAGAGAGAAAGAGAGAGAGGGACAGAAGAAGGAGGGAGGGTAGGGGGGCGGAGAGAGAGAGGCTTGGAGGAGAGAGAAGGAGTGTGTTGGGGGATAGATCAAGGGCCAGAAGGCAAAACCAGCTTGATTTGGGGAAAGTTGAGATAATATAGATGCAGATTTTTTTTTTCTTTCCAAACTTTAATTTGATGGAGACTATAAAATCCTATTCTATTTGGTTGGTTTTTGTTGTTCTGAAAGAAGGGAGAAACATGGGGATCAGTAGATGTGAAGAGCCCTGGATGAGAAGAATGAAGCTCTCCTGGGGTGCGGCGCAGAGAGAGGGCTGGAGGCTCCCCTGGAGGCATCTCTGCCCTGGAGTAAGGCAGAGGTCCCTGTTTCAGTTAAATGTAGTTTCTTGTGTCTGCTGGTCTCTTCTTTTTGTAAGCATCACTGTGGAGGTTCCAGGCGCTTTTGTATTTTTCTCAAAACAAGAATCTCCTGTTTTACAGCCAAGGTTCTAAGGAACACTGACTCTTAACCTATTGCCTATCTCCTTTCTTGAAGCATCAAGCGCTCTGAACTTCAGTCTCCACCCCCACCCCGCCCCAGCCGCCCTGTACCCATATTAATTTGTAACTTTCTAATCCAATTGTGGTCTGCTTTCTGAAAAGCAAAACATAGCTTTGAACATGCAAGTGTGTTAGAATAGCCTGGCATATAGAAAGCTTTATGCAGCAGATAATTCATTTATAACCCAAGAAATGACAGACATCTGATTTTTTTTTTTTTAAATATGTCTTCATGTTTCCATACCAGAATCAGGGTCTTCTCTGTTTTTAAAATTTTTGATTCTTTTAAAGCCTTTTGGCTTTATTAACCTAGAGCTAGAAAGGAAGTTGTAGGCTGGCATCCTTACTTGCATTTTAAAGAGGAGGAGAAATCGCCATCCTGAGCAAACTTCATGCTTCCAAAAGTGAAAGTGTCCTCAGCCAGCTGCACACGGAACAACTTGTTACTGGCCGGCTCTCTCCCTTTTGTTTCCTCGGGTGTGTCAAAAGCAAATTTGCTTCCAACTTCTCACTCTTCAGTAGTTGGTTCCTGTTATACCTCTGTTGTAAATGAACATTTAGTGGGCTTAAGATCATTTTAAAATGATTCCCGCCCCCCCCCCCGCCTTGCCGCCAAAAAAGTCCACTACTCCAATAATCTGAGGACATCTTTTGTTTTAGAACCATCTATTTTATCCTATCACGCCATTTTTCATGTCTTTGTTCCTTAGCCAACCTAGTCACACTTTCATTTTGCATCGTACGTAAAATATTCATTTTTTTTTTTAATACAGGGAGCGTTTGGTAGGAAGGTTATAAATAGCAATTCCTAATTTTCCCTTTGCCCGAAAGGAACGCGAAAACCATGGCATTGCTTTGCCAGTCTCCTCCCCCACCCCCCTTTCTGGTCAGTTTTTCCTGAGAAGAGAAGGATTACTTCTACCTAAGCTGGCTGGCTGGGGTGCTGGAAGCCTCTGCGTGGGGTACTCCCACCATGGAGGCTGGTGTCCTGGTGGCCAGATCGCAGGTAGAGAAAACATGCTGGGATGCGGGGCACCCATGAATTACTCTTGGAGCAGCACTTGCCGATGCACCTCTTTTGTTGAGGTGATTGGATCTTTCTATAAAGGACCGCAGAGGGTGAGAGAAAAGACATCAGGAGAACTGGAAAGCCACAGGGAGACCAGGAGTAGCTGTCTCTCCTGCTTCGTTATGTTGAGTTAATGCCAAGGGTAGACTTGAGCTCTCTCTCTCTCTCTCTCTCTCTCTCTCTCTCTCTCGCCTCACCTTTCTTCCCCCCTCCCTCTTTCTCCTGCCCTTCCTCCTTCTGTTTCTTCCTCTTCCTTCTCTCCCTCTCTTCCTCTTTCTCCATCTCTCATTTTCTAATTCTCTCTCTTTTCTTTTTCTCTGCCTCCTCCCTCCCTCCCTTCCTTCCTTCTTTCTCCATTCTCTCACTTTCTAATTCTCTCTCTTTTTCTGTCTCTTTGTCTCCTTCCTCTCTCCCTCCCTCCCTCTCTTTCTTTCTTTCATAACAAGTTGAAATTTCTCTTTCTTTTCAGCTGAACTGCTCTTTTCTGCCAGGACAAAGGAGATCTGCTGAGATTCTGTACGAGGGATCCCTCCTAAACAGAAGGAGGGTGGAGGGCAGGGAATCTTTCTGTCTGTGTCATTCTGCTGACATCACCATGAATTTGGTGTTCAAGTCCACAGCCAGGCAAAACTCAAGTACATTTTCCCTTTTACAAGCAGCTGCTCAGTGCGTTTTCCTTCCTTTAGTAAAGGAACAATGAAGGAAAAGCAAACCCTGCATCTAAAACCTGGCCAATGAAAAACTGTTGGAATGGAAGCCAAGAATCCTGCTGGGGTGGAGGGGGACAGACTCCTGAAGCCACCACAGTCAGATATTTTACTTCTATTTTAGCGGCCCCATCAGCAGAGAGAAATAATGACTCCTGAATCATTTCAGAATCAAAAAGTTAAAATGATATCTCAGTGACGCTACATCGTGCCAGGTAATGATTGCCCAACTTGATTATACCTTAACCATGCTTAATTATTGATAGGCTATCTCTTAATCATGTTTAGGCAAATGAGCAGTTTGGTATAAAACATCAGAATTTGGGAGTATTCCGAGACATCCCATTCCTATTTGATCATTTTTCTGGTAAAATCGTTCTCAAGCTTCATCAGTAGCCAGGGAAATTCCAGGAAAAATATGAAAGTGACTTATTTGCAGAACCTTTCTATCATGTGTAGTTCTGGAAATGAAGAAAACATAACGCAGCCCAGTGTTTTTCTAGAGTTACTTTTATTTCAGTCTTTGGTGTTCTTTTTACTTTCATTTTGGCATTAATTCTAGTTTAGCTTTGTAAAAAGAGTTGGGTGACAAAAAGAAACCAACCACAAACCAAGCAAAGAATCTTGATCCTTTTAAAATATTTTATTTTCCAGACGCGGGTGAATGGTTTGAAGATGCTGGCCTAGCAAGATGGCAACAGGTTTAAAAAATAGGATTCATAAGAAGTTCCTTTTTTCAGGTAACTACATTTTTCTAAAATTTCTCCCAAACCTTCCATTTCCTTAAGTTATTACAAGTTTTTAGAGTATGCTTGAATGATTTAATTATGAAGATTAACTGCATTTTAAGCTTTGTTTTTCTGACAATAGTAACCAGCTTTAGAATATTCAGTGAAAAGAACGTTCAATTCTCTGGAGTTCAGAAAAATATTTTGAATGTTATTGTTTAATAGTGCTTATTTCTTTTGACAACAATTTAGGCAAAACTCACTTGAAACCATCAGGTGTCATTCTTAAACTCTGTGGCTCTCTTCAGTAATTGTACTTAGAAGTATTAGAAGATTGCTTCTAAAAAGCCTAGTGTATGCTTTGAATTCCTGGAAGATATGGCTTCTAAAAATTGTGTAATCATCGATGCTTTGTAACATAATAATTGCATAACAGTTGATGTTTTAACTTTAGTCCTAGATGAGTAATCTAATATGTCTGGAATTTTATAAAACTGTGCTTACACAGGTCCAGTGACAAAGATTTAAGCTCAGCTATCATGATATAAGTAGATTCTTTTTGATGCTGTTGAAGGACTTTGTGCCACTTCAATATGTTTAATAAGACAAATGATATATTTACTTGATGAATTACCTTACCCTGAGTTTACCATTGTTTTTAACTATTAGCCTGCATTTCCCAACTTAATTGTTACTATCTCTGAGAGCCCTGCAGAATCTTGCTTAAGAAAGCAGGCCAAACTTTGCTCTGAAAAGAGCCCTTATTTTTCTGTTCAACACAAAGAAGGTTCTTGAAGGAGGTATTCAGTTAATATTGGGAGGAAAATGTCTCTTCCCAAATAAACCATTCTTCTACTAGATCGGTATTTGACTTTCTTTTTTTCTGCAACCTAAGCATCTTCTGATTGCTCTTTTACTTTTTAAAAGTAAAACTCTAGATTATTTGAAAGTTAACATTACAAAGCCTTTAGATTGAATAACTTTTTTCTGTCCTATATTTTCCAAAAAAAAAAAAAAAAAGACAGAGGCCCCCAATTGAAACTAACATTTACAAAGGTGATTAGTTCTTGAATGACTCAGTGTAATACTTTGACAGATCTTCATCCATCGCTGACGAGTATTGCATGCTGTATTTTTAACAAATGATAACAACAATTAGTTCTCATTACTTTGCGAGCCTAAGCCTATTCCTTTTTATTTTAATAAGAGCCCCAGTGTCACACCCGTTCCAGCCATCCTCAGCGGTGTTCAAAGTGCCCATCCTCAAATACCTCTGGCCCCATGCCCTTGTCAGGGAGATCAAAGGAAAATAAGAGGCTTGGCATTTATTTTAAAATCTTTTATTTTATAAAGGAAATGAACATTTTAAAATAACAGAAAGTCCAAACCATTTTTGAAGTGACTGGTTTGGATCCTGCTTGCTTCCACTTGGGATTGTTGTTTCTTTGGATCTTAAAGTCAAGCCACGGAGCTGCGACTAAATTCTCCGTCTTGGCAATCTTCACAGTCATGCCCGCGGCTCCACCACGATTAAACAGGCAGACAAGGAAGTGTCTATGAATGGTTGCCTCTTCATCCCTGTTTGACCCACTGTTGGTTTCCTGCTTTTACCTTTTAAATTGTGTGCCTAGGGGCCTCCTCTTTTCTCTGAATAATTCCCAAATTCATCTGTCTTTTTTGTTATTACGAGAGCCTCCTACATTCTTGAGACAGGAATAAATGTTCATATATCAAGGCAAAGTTCTATTTTTTTCTTTGAGAACCAAAATCTATAGACATTGCTGACAAAAATTGAAAAGATCTCTTTTTAGGTCCTACAAAGAGATGGAGGCATATGTTTTTCCCAACTTCTCAGAACAGAGGTGATTTTGCTTTCCATCATTTGTCCTTGAAATACTCATGCTTAAGACTATGTCCTCAATAAAATTCATGAAAGGAGTCATTAATGAAAGATCATTGTCTTGGCTGCCCCATTCTTACTTGTAGAACATTGGTTTTGAAGAAAGAATGTTATGCTGACAAAACCCTTTTATAAGAAGTCCTTAGAAATACATTCATTCCCACAACCTGGAACAGTTATGCAGGGAGCCACTATACAATTTCTTTTCTGGTCCAGATTTTATAAAGTATGTCTAAACTTGCTCAGTGTTGGTGTTTGGACCAATAATGGGGGTGGGATGAAGGTGAAATAGAAGCTTTTCCTGAAGAAGAATCTTCCAAATTAATAGAACTGGACATCTCGCATAATTTTCAGAAAATACTTACAAGCCTGTTGGCGGTGCTTGCTAGTTTACTACTACTGTTTTGTGGAAAGCACATTGGAAAGGAAAATTTCACCATCTTTTTTTTCATGTAATTACAGGTATTTGAAAGAATGAACTTGCATTTGGGCTTGCCTATGTTTCTCTCTTTCTCTCCCCATAATTGAAAGACTTTTCTTTATTCTGCTGTTTTGCCATCCATATGTCACTATGTTCAGTTTGTGTGTTAAGGTCGGAATGAATGAGTCTTCTGTAATATGAAACAGTGAAATGATGAGATTGACCCCAGAGCCCATTGTGTCTGTGGGGGAAAGTGAAAAGGGAGAGAAGTGTATGGGGGGGAGCATAGAGATGCTGCTCGACTTTTGCCGTTTTAAGAGCAGAACGAAGTCTTTCCATTTCTGGCATGAAACGATGGAATGGCAGAGTCTTTGGTTGGACTAACGATGTTAACATTTCATTTTCAGACATGTCAGACCCCCACACGAGAGAAGATACTAAGGCCTGTTGCCACAAACCCGTAGATCCGAACTTGTGGTGATAGTCCACACAAGCTTGTGTCTATAGGTATGTGTCTGTGGGCGATCTCACAGACCACGGGCTCTGCTTGTCTGCCATCCAAATCCCTCCCATTTCCTTGATTCTGCCTCCCTTTTCCTTAGTTTCTGCTATGAGGGGTAGACGTGGAAAGAGGAGCCAATGAGAAGGAAGGAGACCTTTTGTCCCGAAATGGATGAGGCTCTTCAGTGATCAGTCTATAGGTTCACCCTCAGGCCCTTCTCTCTTCAAAACTCCTCTCAAGCTGTCAAAGAACCTGAGCTTGCAGGCAAGGCAGCAGGAACTGGGGTGACTGAGACAATTTACTGTTGAGCGGTGAGTAGACACATATATAGGGGTTTGTTTTGTTTTCTGTGAGCCTGCCTAATTGCTTTCAAAGTTGTCATGATCTTTTTTGGAAAGTGACAGAGACTTGTGTACAAGACCTGTTTCACCCTGATTTGGGTTCTACCTTACAGCAGCAGTTCTTCCTCTCCCACTGTGCTCCAAGTGCCATCAAATCAGTCTTTATCTTTAAAAATAAAATTAACGAGGGGAATGGATGTGCCTAACTATTTATACTTCTGGACCGACCATGTAAGAAAAAGAATTTTTTATAAAAAAGAAATGGCCCATTTAGGTCCAGCTTCATATTTGTCCAGAGCTGTTTTATAACTCTTCACCATGTTTAAAAGGCTGGAATGAAAATAATTCTATCCCCTTGCCTCTTAAATGTCACCATTGTGCCAGGATTGGAAAGCCAAACTGACTCCAGATCAGAGCAAAACTGGCTATATTTGTCTCATTCCAACAATGTGAGCTGAAGACTCTGTAAACAGAACAGGGTGAAAAGTTGATTAGATTTGGATGACTCCAAAACTTTTGCATTCCCTTTTGGTCAAACATAGCACCAAGAACCCCCTTAAGATATAGATATATAGATATCTATATCTATATATATCTATAGATTAAGCCTCATTTAACAAAAATAGTCAATATGAAGTAGTTAGTTACTGAGTTAGCATCAGCAAAAAGTTTGACATTCAAATGGATACTTTTTTTTTTCACTAAATGCTGTCTTCTCCTAAGAGCCACACAGTTCAGGGGTAGATAGTGCTCTTTCTTCTATCAAATGAAATTTTGTATGTCAGAATTAGAAAGGCCCAGATAGAGATGGATGTTGTTTAAAGAATACCAAGCTCTGCAGATGCTACATCCTGAAGAGGTTGTCTGTATGTGTTTCCTTTGTGTTTGCTCTGCAAAGCATTGAGGAAGGCAGTTTGTAGATCTCAACTTCCAGCTTGGTAAGAAATCAGAGCTTTATTCTAGAATGATGGAACATTACATCCCGAAGAAAAAGTCTGTCCCCATTGGCGTGTAGCATGTATAATTGTTTGCCCAAGGCCTTTATCTACCCATAAGCAAACAATCTATTTGGTTGGTTTTAACATGCCTCTTTGAAGCGGTTGACTTAGAATGGTGCAAATTAAACCTGAACCTTCCCTGAATAAGTGCTTAGGTTTTATAAAGGCAAAATCACATCTCTACACTTCATCCCTTTAACATGCTATTAAATGTGCTACCAGTGGGGCCAGTAGTACATTCATGAATCCAGGGGATGCTGAGCAGTCTAAATTCCCTCTATAGGAACAATGTTAAGACTGCAGGGTGACCAGTAGGTGACTATCAGTTCATTTCTTTTAAGGGAGTTTTAAAAACCCATCACCCTAAGAATAAAGATTATGCAAAGTAGTCCATCTTTTCAAAGTTTCTAAAAGGCCTAGGATATGATTCTTTGATTCACCTGGATAGAAAATATTCTAGTGGAAAGCCCAAAGCCCCTGGACACTGGCCACAAGAAACAGGATATTAAATATTTTACAGGATGATGAAATTCAGTATTTTTCCCTTCTTCTGTGTTCATGAATGAATGGTTCTGTAGCTATTAATTATTCCCTTGGGACTCACTCAGAGTGGACTAGATATTTTACAGGAAACTGCAGAAAGTAAAATAACTTCAGGTTTTCCTCAGAAAGACTCTAAATTTTAGAGTCTAAAATATATATTCAGTAGTCATTGCTGCATGAGGGTATAGAGAAAATGGGTATAAAATGAACTTTTTCTGTTAAAATTCTCAAAGTCTCATTATCAAAATATATTCTTGAAGCTATACCACCAGGATACAGTTTAGATTTTTTTTTAACAGAAAAAACT